CGCTCTCTTTAAGTGTCGAAGAGGACTTGATGTTGAATTGGACCATGGTATTTTTACAAAAGATGACTATGAGACTAGACCTACCATCGAGGAGTTACCGGCGCCTTATGACCGGTGGCCGATAAGTGTTACAGAAGAAGAATATTCAGATAATCAAGCCTTGATGGTGTATACTGATGGTTCGAATTTAGAGGGGAAGGTAGGGGCAGCATTCTTGGCTACCCTGAATAATGAAGTAATAATAGAGGAAAAATTTAGATTGGGAGATGATTGCTCAGTATATCAAGCTGAGCTTTATGCGATTGTTAAGGCGGTAGCATGGCTAGTTGAGATGAAGGTAAAGGGTCCTATTTGGATATGCTCAGATAGCAGAGCGGCTATACATACGCTGAGACAATTTGTAGACACGAGTAGAATGGCTTTGGAGGTCAAGCAAATGTTGGCCAACCATGAGTTGGAGGTTCAGTTCAGTTGGGTGAAAGCCCATGCGGGCAACAGAGGTAACGAACTGGTAGATCGACTGGCGAAGGAAGCCACTGGCCTGGATGTTATATCTTATAATAAGCTGCCTCTGACTGGTATAAAACAAAAAGTTAGAAAGCATACGATTGATATATGGCAAGGCCGTTGGTCAGCATCAGATAAAGGCCGTTACACGTATAGCTTACTGCCTAACATACATGAAAGATTAACTGACTTAAGTTGGTTAAGCGTGGATTATGTGAGTACACAGATGTATACGGCACATTGTAAGAGTAAAGTGTATTTTCATAAAATAGGGAAGTCTAGTAGTATCATGTGTGAGTGTGGCTGCGGACCTCAAACATTCAGGCATTTGTTTCTGGAGTGTTCAAGGTATGGGATTAGAAGACATCAGCTGTTTACTGCTCACCACCAATTCAGTGACTCTAATCCGGATCTATACAACATTATCCGGAATAAACACATTCAAATGGATCTTAAAGATTACGTGAAGTTTATTTTACTGTGATTGTAAGAGCTGGGATTAAGTTTTTCCCTATGCCCACCTTTCTGGCAGGTTGCCGATTGGGCTTTCTGTCAAGTTAGACAGATATTGTACATAGTTTTAATAGTTTGTTATATTTTGTTGTTTGTTTTATGTCTCATGTATTTAAGGATGTAATGTTCATTATAGAACCGATATCCCTGTGGTGCGGTAGCAGAGCAGGGACGACTCTGATCCCCAATCGGGGAAATGATGAATATTTAATGAAAAAAAAAAAAAAGTCAGTGGAATCATGCTCGACATTCCAAACACCATTGTCAAACTTCTAGGCTTACAGGAAAGCTGCGCTGAACGTCCAACGTACACATTTTCGCGTTTAAAACTTCGGTCTCAACCTCGCTATTGTCGCAATAACTGATATTAAAACAATACAAACATGTGAACTAAAACGTCCAATTGTATCTTACTAAACAATGCACACTAGGCCTAAGCAAAGCACCTTGAGAAACTCTGCGCATGAGTAAGTGCATGCTGGCCCATTGTTGAAAACAAAACTTATTCCCTACAAGTTCTTCCTTTTGTATGGCGAAAAAAATATTCTGTCATTGTCAGCGGAAAATGTAGCGATTTTGATTCTTAATCACACTTTTTTAAGTAGGAACTTAAAATACACTCGACTCTCAGTAACTGGACATTTTAATATACTCGTCCCTTTGTTAAAAAAATTTCATTTATAGCACTGTAACTTAACACTTTGGCCATTGGACCTAGTGTTAAGTTATAAATAAATCATTGTTCTTCACTGGCGACACAAGATAATGGCATCAATTCCATATGTTAACTGAAAACGTATCTTTTTCGAAAGTGTCACTTTCGAATGTCGACACCACGACCCGAATGTCACTAACTCGAAAGTCGCCAATGAGTAGGCAACATTTTTTAAATTTAAATTTCAATACGTACAAACATAAATAGTCACTATTGGCACGTAGTTAATACATACAGCAGAATTTGTCTATTAGATAGTCCCTTTCTTCAGAAATAACTCTACTAATAGGCAAACTTGCTGATAAACAAACTTTTTTAGAATACAATTCGTCAGTAATTCAGAAACGTTGGTTTGCTTCGTAATGACAGGGATAGGCTCATCACGAAAACAGCTCATTTCTTTTACAAGCAAAGGCAGTTTTTCGCCAAATGCACTAAAAACACAAAGAACAGTGATATGTTGTTTGAATTGCTTGCCTCCAGCGCATGTCGATCTTACTCAGCTTATTTTCACTTCTGCATTTTTCGTGCAAATTATTTCTCTTTTTCTTAAAGCAAAGGTCCCTATATTGCATCTAGGCCAGGAGCTAGGTTGCGAAATCATTTCATCTCTCTTTTCCATGGCAAAATTTTGGGACAGTTTGACTGTCGGCTTTGTCTTTCTAAGATCAAACTCTTTTGTAATTTCATCTTATTGTTAATTTTATGTTTGAAATTGACGACTCATTAGTGCTAAACTTTTCAGGAATTTAAGAAACTAACAATTTCATATTTTTGTTTTAAATGCAAATCATGTCTTATCCTTTTGCTTGCCGTTTTTACCTTCTTAAATAAAGAACAAAAATGCAGTTTTTACCACACGGTATAGAAAGCACAGACGTATAATTCATTTGATTAGACGAGGGGAGACAGGAAGGGGGGAGTTTGTTGTCAAAAATTGCGAACAGGTAAACTAAATTTTCATAGGCTGTGCACAGCCTATGTAAATAAATTTGTAGTAAGAAAATCTTGCTACTATGAAACTTGCTATTAGCCAAACTACTTTACATTGAAACGTATATAATTTTATGGTGTATTAGATTTTCTTGCTTTTAAGTAAATCTAACTATTAAGGAACTTTCTAATAGACGAGTTCTACTGTATTTACACATATAATACCTTGCAACTCACATGCAATAATAAGACATTAACCCATATGAATAAAAACGAAGAAAATGCTACTAAGCATTTCCTTCGTTTTTATTATACGCATAAGATAGATAAAAGCAAATGCTTCGAGCAAAAGATAGAAGCAAAAGCATTTCCTCTGTTTGGAATGAATAATGATTACCTTATACTTTTGAGCAAATGCTTTTGGTGACCGAGTAAAAGGTTCTCGACATGCAAATTATGACACGTATAATCCCGTTCCCATGTTCTATTTTTGCCTGGGCGAAGCAATGGGTACTGGGGTATCATTTTCACTTTCTTGTCCGAGTTTTAAAAAATAATTTCCACGTTAAAATTTCGTGATTTTGGTGTCAAAATGCTCAGTATAACCTTGTTCTTTGTTGGAAATACATTTTATAATATATAATCCATTTTGAGAAAGGATATATTAAAAAAAAAAGTGTCGACTTTCTCCAATTTGACGCTTAATAACAATAAAGCATTTTGACATTTTTAAGTACTGTTTCCTGAAATATGAAAACACAGAGTTGCTTGATATTTTTCCAGACTTTGGCAAATTTCGATTGAAATACAGAAAAGTTATAGGAATTCTAAGAAAAAAAAGTTTCCATTCCCACTAGATGGCGTTACGTTACGTAGCTCTAATAACAGGAATACTTATTTTAAACGCTTAATTAAAACAATATTTCGCTTAAACGAGACAGTAGCAAAAAAAAATTCAGCAATTTTTTATGTATTTTAAAGATCTTCCGAAGATATGTCAACTCTATGTATACTAATTCAGTTATCTCCAAACATTTTTGATCGTGTAGCTCTAAGAAAATAAGTATAAGTTGTACCCCCCAGTAAAATATTCCTATAACATATCAAAAATTGCTAAATTCCTTTTTTCAGCTGCTGATCTAAAATTGCTGAATTCCTATAATATAATATAATATAATATAAGAAATACAACTAATATATATTATATTATATATGGTAACTTAACGTATCCCCAAGTAACACTTTGGTCCACGTGAAAATCACAGCACTAATTCCGTGTAAGCCTAACAATTAGCAGAGAAAAACCAATTTTTTCTTTCGCTCAGGCGATCCGCTTTTTACCGCAGGGAATCAGCATAATAGAACATAGTAGTTTCACACAAAAATCACGTCTGAGGCAGACCTAAATATGAACTATTGACCATGCTCTAAATTAAACCAGCTGAACTACTTCCACTATTCCCGTCATAAATTTTCAATTTTTATGTAATTATTTCATACGCATGTTTTTTTATCGTGTCAAGCAACTAACGAACGTTATGTTTCAGATGCAGTTCCCTATTTTTCAAGAAAAAAAAAAATCTAAAACCGGCTGTTTTTAACGAGCGACTTAAATTTAACCAAGACTTTTCTTAAATAAATGCCAACTGATTTGATTATATTATTCTTTTATTTTTTATTTTTTCGTTTACTTTAATTTAATTTCTTTGTTACAGTTCTGCTATTTATGTGTACGTTTCAGCATATTTTTTTCTTTTCTCAACAATAAATAAGTTATAATCTTTCATTTGTGACATAAAGGTGCGATAAAGTGAAAGTAAATTTTAACGATACTAGAGTAACGATTATTATTTTATAAACTTATTGTTAAGCTTAACATTGATGAAAATTCAACGCGAAGCAGATCAATAGCGATATACTAATAGACTAAATTAATTACATAAGATATAATAATATACTACACTAATAATGGATTTTTTTATACTTTTCGGTTATTCGACTTTTCAATTATTTGACCGACCCCAGTCCCCAATTTAGTCAGATAATCGAAACTCTACTGTACTACGAAAATTCTCATATTTGGAATGTTTTTATATAGAGAAATATTAAATGTAAAATCTTTCTATTGCTAATTGTGTTTCCTGATAAATTAATTCGAGATTTCTATATCTAAGCTGGTTTCATCGTAGATTGAAACTTTACTTATATTTGTTGGCGTTATATTAAGTAACTAATAACGAAACGGCGTAATAAAAAAAACAGTAAATGTTAGAATTTTACTATAGTTAATTTTGAGTTGCAATTATTAATAAAATTTTTGTGTTATTATTAAGCTGTTGCATGTGATGAGGAATTCGAAAAAACTTGCAAAGAAAATGGCGGAAAAGATTGTGTTATAGATAATGGAAAACAAAAGTGTAACTGTGAAAAAATAACGGAACAGTTTGACCATGACGAGAACAAGTGTATAGGTAAGTGCGTCTTTTAGATTACAATTAAATAGAAAAAAATAATTTCATTTACGATAACCATATATGATTGACGAGTTGACACTACTTCGTAAGAAATGCCGAGTAGTAATGGCTGTTCGTGTGTTTTGCCATAAAACATTACCAATTCAATGCGATAGATAGTACGTATTTAAGGTAAGATGCTAACTTGACCTTATATTCTGTCAGTTCATACGTGAGTATCAAATATATGTTCGTGGCTCATATCATGAAAATTCAGAAGACATTTTTGCTGCCGGGAAAGCGTAAAAATGTAATGTTCATCAAGCTTACGTATTGGCTTCTGGCCTAAGGAATTCACCACAACATTTAACGAGTATCTTCACTTAGACTCGAACAGGTTTGTCTAACTATTCTAGTTGATTCAATATGCATTTTGCACAATGCCGTTTCTCTTCTGTTTAAAACATCTGCCTTCCAAGTCACAATTTCCTCGAAGACTATACAGTACAAATAGATTAAAATATACATTAAAGTACAATGTTCTGTTAACTTGTAGAAAAACCTATAAAAGAAATGTGAAACGTCTATTTGAAGTTGCATATTAAATAAAATAGGACAGCTAAAATTGTTTCTTGTTGTCCATTCAAAAGCGTTCTTCGCAAGGGTTTAGTATACAAGGCAATTCACAAGATTGATAAACATATAAGTTGTAAAGTATGAAGACAAGCAAACTTATTAAATTCCAATCTATATTTTGATAGTTAAATGTTATCCTATTAGCGAAAAACCCTCGTCACATATTAAAAAATAGATCAGGTGTGTAATGATGATCATTAAGTAGCATTGATTTTTTAGTGTTTGTTAGGAAAGATTTGTTTGGTAAAAATCAAAAACGAAACATCGCAACACGTAGAAAGTATCATAGCACGTGCTTCTACGCCATTTGCCACTAATTCAACCAGATCAAGCGATTTCATGCGATATTGACGCTTGTCTGAGTTTGACGTCAATTACGTGAAATGATACTTTATTTCATTAATCACAAAATGATAATTTTGGCGTTAACATTTATATATACGAATTATTTGTACACGTATACATTTTTAAATGGGTAGTACGAACGAGCACAATAGTAATGAAACAAGAATGTGAACAAAAATGTCCAACTTACATTTTGTTCATAATGAACTGAAATTTTAGAATTGAAGTCTCGATACACACACAATAATAACGTAGTTCTCGGCGTTGTGCGTTATGCTGTTTTTTGCACTGACTGAACGCATGAAATGTATTCCACGCTATCTCTGCTAACTGTGTTATTATTACGAAAGTTAGTCGGCCTGTATTTATTAAGAATTCGAACGTCTTTTACGATATGCAAAATTAATAATGTTAATCATATTTCTTGCTTAGTAAGTTCTGTTTTCTGTTAGTAAAATTTTTGTGCGATTTGATCTAATATATTAATAAACATTTAGATAATTATTAATTTTGTTATAATTATGAAAGATTTATTCATTGAACTGACTTACCATAAAAGTCTGCGAAAGAAAAAGTTTAACTAATGTCAGAAGTTCGTATCTATACTTTTATTAGAGTTATTTTTTACTGTTTTAAACCATATTGTTACATAAATGAATCGTAGTTCATAACTAATTATATATTTTGTTAAAATATTCATCAAATAATTCGTGAAAGTGAAAATAAAAACTTTTGCAACAAAACGAAAAAGTTACAATGAAATTGTTTGTTGTTATTCTTCCATCATGTCAGTGAAATCGTTCGTATCGACTGGACAAACGCATTCTTTTAACTAAAAACGAATACAAACCACCTACAGCTGTAAAACCAAAATCAACGGTTGAGAAAGTTTCGTTCGAAACAAAGAGGCTTGTTACCAGAAATGCAGGAAAACGCGGCCAGTTTCTGTCATACGTTCACTAAGAATATCTATGAACAACGTACCAAAAAATGAGGTTTTACGTTCTCACACTTTATTGCGAAATCTCTATTTAATTTGTTATATGCAGGGCTGTGGAGTCGCNTTTTTTTTATTAAAGATAAGTTAACAAAGTTGTTTCAAACACTTATTCGGTTTTACGGTTTCTCGTATCGCGTCACAGTATTGTTTCCATGGCAAAAGTTATTGACACGCCGCGACTAAGTAATTTACAATCCATTGCAATTACGGCTCTCTTCCGGGTTTAATTTTATTTTCGTCTTTTATTATTATTATTATTTTTTTTTCATTAACACCGTTTTGACCACGAACATGCGGTAGCACTGCCATTTTGGATCAATAAATTACAATAACCACTTTAAGTAAACTGAATTTTGTTTAACAAGTATTGATGAATTTAAGGATGTTTAGTATTAAGTAAATTTAGCATTTCACGTAGATTTTTCAAACGAAAAGCTTATTTGTTTACAGGTGAAACGTTAACAAAATTTTAATATATTAGTTAAAATAATATAAAGTATTTGCTCAGATACATTGAAAAGAATAATTGCAAGGCTTTTTACAAATAGGTCGAAACTTCTACTTCAGTATTATCTTCGGTTTGAAGAGACGAAATAAATTGCTTGAACGAACAATCGTCGAAATTTAAACAATAACATTTCTGACGAATGAAAATAAAAATTATGTTTAGATATTGTAAAAAATTATAAAACGCATACAGGTTCCGGTGATACTTTTCGAGTACTATTAGTGTTTTTATCGTATCAGATTCGTATAACCGTTGTCATGACATTACAGTAGAGCCTCGATTATCCGACTCCGATTAACCGACACTTCGGTTAACCGATTGTCAGAGTCGGCAAATTTCAAATGTCCGCTAGTGATGTGGCGCTACAATATTTGGCTATGTCTCGGCTACTTTAATAATATTTTTTAATGTTTTAGCCGCAACACTGATTCGACCATGAAAGGAAGCCAGTACGAGGCTTATTTTTCTAATTTTTTACGATACTATAGCGACGATTATTTTATAAACTTATTGTTAAGCTTCACATCGATGAAAATTTAATGCGAAGTAGATCAATAGCGATATACTAATATATTAATTACATGAGATATAATAATATACTACACTAATAATGAATTTTTTATACTTTTCGGTTATTCGACTTTTCAATTATTTGACCGACTCCAGTCCCCAATTTAGTCAGATAATCGAGGCTCTACTGTACTACGAAAATTCTCATATTTGGAATGTTTTTATATAGAGAAATATTAAATGTAAAATCTTTCTATTGCTAATTGAGTTTCCTGATGAATAAATTCGAGATTTCTATATCTAAGCTGGTTTCATCGTAGATTGAAACTTTACTTATATTTGTTGGCGTTATATTAAGTAACTAATAACGAAACGGCGTAATAAAAAAAACAGTAAATGTTAAAATTTTACTATAGTTAATTTTGAGTTGCAATTATTAATAAAATTTTTGTGTTATTATTAAGCTGTTGCATGTGATGAGGAATTCGAAAAAACTTGCAAAGAAAATGGCGGAAAAGATTGTGTTATAGATAATGGAAAACAAAAGTGTAACTGTGAAAAAATAACGGAACAGTTTGACCATGACGAGAACAAGTGTATAGGTAAGTGCGTCTTTTAGATTACAATTAAATAGAAAAAAATAATTTCATTTACGATAACCATATATGATTGACGAGTTGACACTACTTCGTAAAAAATGCCGAGTAGTAATGGCTGTTCGTGTGTTTTGCCATAAAACATTACCAATTCAATGCGATAGATAGTACGTATTTAAGGTAAGATGCTAACTTGACCTTATATTCTGTCAGTTCATACGTGAGTATCAAATATATGTTCGTGGCTCATATCATGAGAATTCAGAAGACATTTTTGCTGCCGGGAAAGCGTAAAAATGTAATGTTCATCAAGCTTACGTATTAGCTTCTGGCCTAAGGAATTCACCACAACATTTAACGAATATCTTCACTTGGACTCGAACAGGTTTGTCTAACTATTCTAGTTGATTCAATATGCATTTTGAACAATGCCATTTCTCTTCTGTTTAAAACATCTGCTTCTCAAGTCACAATTTCCTCGAAGACTATACAGTACAAATAGATTAAAATATACATTAATGTACAATGTTCTGTTAACTTGTAGAAAAACCTATAAAAGAAATGTGAAACGTCTATTCGAAGTTGCATATTAAATAAAATAGGACAGCTAAAATTGATTCTTGTTGTCCGTTCAAAAGCGTTCTTCGCAAGAGTTTAGTATACAAGGCAATTCACAAGATTGATAAACATATAAGTTGTAAAGTATGAAGACAAGCAAACTTATTAAATTCCAATCTATATTTTGATAGTTGAATGTTATTCTATTAGCGAAAAACCCTCGTCACATATTAAAAAATAGATCACGTGTGTAATGATGATCATTAAGTAGCATTGATTTTTTAGTGTTTGTTAGGAAAGATTTGTTTGGTAAAAATCAAAAACGAAACATCGCAACACGTAGAAAGTATGATAGCACGTGCTTCTACGCCATTTGCCACTAATTCAACCAGATCAAGCGATTTCATGCGATATTGACGCTTGTCTGAGTTTGACGTCAATTACGTGAAATGATACTTTATTTCATTAATCACAAAATGATAATTTTGGCGTTAACATTTATATATACGAATTATTTGTACACGTATACATTTTTAAATGGGTAGTACGAACGAGCACAATAGTAATGAAACAAGAATGTGAACAAAAATGTCCAACTTACATNAGCGATTTTTATGAGTAAATTTGTTGGTTTTTTTTCTTCTTTTAAGTTAACCTTAAGTTTTATAAAATCGTTTTGGTTTCGAAACATAAACGGTAGATGAAAATGAATAGAAATATTCGAATCTCAGCATTCTTAAGTCCTGGCCCTCACATCGCTGCGGTCTTTCTAAAATCGAGCTTGTTGTGGACGAGCATGCTGGATTTTTTTTTATTAAAGATAAGTTAACAAAGTTGTTTCAAACACTTTTTCGGTTTTACGGTTTCTCGTATCGCGTCACAGTATTGTTTCCATGGCGGAAGTTATTGACACGCCGCGACTAAGTAATTTACAATCCATTGCAATTACGGCTCTTTTTTGGGTTTAATTTTTTTTTTCTGATTGCCTGTACTGTCTGAATGTGATAGCGATTTTGACACTTTTTTAATTAATTAAATTTGTTCTTTGAGCAGACTAATGACTTACACTTTCCAATACAGTCTGCTCAAAGAACAAATGTTGTATCACTGTCTTTATCACTGAACCAGCCTTCTACTTTAGACAAATTTTTATTAATATCACGTGTCTTATCGTGTGTCTTATGATGTTTTTTTATTTTTTCGACTGTTGACAATGAAAAATTAAAACTAAATCATTGACATTTATTATTTTAATATCATAAATATGTGATTTATGATATTAAGAATTTATAAGTTTTTAATAAAAAAAAATCTTGCAGACCAAATAAATAAGTAGACAAAAATTTCACAGAAATTTGTGATGAATAAAAATAAATAATTATTATCTTATTAAGAAAATAATTATTTGAATTAATTAATTGAATAAAAAGTGGTAATAAATAATAGAATACATATTGCGGTCCTAATCACCAAATATCTATGAAAGTAAATAACTTGCTACTACGAAAACAGTTCATACACTGTAATGTAATTATTGTAACATAGAGACCCAATGTGTCGTATACGACACGTTGAAATGTTAGCTCATCTCATAAAATATTGTTATTAATATAGTTTTTACAAAATACTCTTATATAATCTTAGAAGCTTCCTCAACAAGAATATGTATAAATTGTAAAATTATAATCAATAGAAATAGAGAAAATTGAATACTGACATCAAGCATTCATACTTATGATCACTTTTAAAAACATATGCTGAGACAATCACTTATATTTTCCTTTGTTTCTGTCACAGTGGAATAAAATGCATGTGGTCTAATAAGCTTCACTAAACTCTAATGAAAAAATGTATAACTAACATAATTGTTTAGCAAGCAAAAAAGCAGAGCTGCTTCTCATTATTTGAAAGGAAAATTGCGTGTCATGTACTACACAAGGCATCCCTTGTGTAGTACAAAAATAAAATACAAGTGGATACAGGTTGAAAATTGAAAGAGGGGCTTTCTGGTACCACTTGTAGGTATAACCAAGAAGGTAGGAAAGAACGGAAGGTAGGAGAAGAGTTGCGAAGAGTAGGGGATGAAATTGGGGCAGGAGAAGGTGGGAGATCATGGCGCCTGCATCGCATTTATTTAGAAAAATAAAATACAAAACAGATACATTAAACAGTGTAACGGTAAAACAACACAATTGTTCGCGCGACAATGTTATCCTTATGTAGCAAGGTATGTACAATATATATATAAAAACCGACATTAAGAGTTGTACAGAATAGGATTGAAGTGACGAGGAGAGCATAGACCTCAACAAGAGCGCGCGGTGGCAATAATACAAATAATGCCGTATACCGAGAGGAAAGTTCCACAAACAGTAGAGTGAGGAGTTGATTGGGTTAAGCTCGCTCAAACAGAGCAAAGAGTCGTGTACCGCTGATGCACACACTTGAAGATGGAAGGAAACCTGTTGCGGCATAGTTCATTGCGATGTAGATGGTTCGTCGTTGTCAATTGTGTGAGGGTTGCGCTGAAAACAGGGCGCTGCCGTTGATGTGAGATATATTTTGAGACTATTGTAGATATCCTTGTTTTCGAGCAGAGTTTCAGGAGAACAAGGCCAGTTGAAGCTTGCATACAGAACACATCCGATGAGATTGTTTCTTTGGTGATCGAAGAGGCTGCAGTCCAAAAGTTAATGATTACTCTCTTGTATTGTAGTATCGTCACAGTGACAGACACCAGATTCCCTTAGGCCAGTGTTTCTCAACGGGGGCGATATCGCCCCCATGTGAGCGTTTCTCCATGTTGAGGGGGCGATTAGTAACAATTTTATGGGCGATAGAGTAAAACATTATATTAAGAATAATTAGATATTTTATTCGTTATATCGTACAATTATTAAACAAATAACATTATACTAGTCACTAGTCTATTCAATGCAGTACGGATTTGGCGTTAGCCTTGGCTTTCGGCATCGGAATTTTGAAGTGAAGGAGCGATACTACGTAACGGTTTTATTGAAGGGGACGATACTACGTAAAGGGGAAGCCAATTCGTTAGAAATTGAGAAACACTGCCTTAGGCGGAAACGATTGAGGTATGCATTGAAGTTGCCGTGACCCGTAACTAACTGGGTCATAACAAAGGAAGACGTGAAGTGCTTCCACTCTAGACGACATGAGATATTGGGGATGTAGTTGTGGGTCACCCGTCCGGTGTCCTCGCAGTCCCATTCACTTTGCCATTCTTGTAGGGCAAGATGGCGGTTCCATTGTTTGATTTTCGAGTATGGGATTCTGTTGTAGGTCGAAGGGAGCGAAGAGGTAGCAGCAGTCTTCGCCAGATGGTCGGCAGCTTCGTTCCCAGAGAACCCAGAGTGCCTACGCACCCAATTGAAGGAAATGTTAGAAAGTTCAGACTATGTACGAAAAATTTTTTTAATTTTTGAGTCTATCTAATAATCCATTAACACAACCACAGAAGTACCCGTAACATTGTTGAAGAAAAACTTCAATAAAAACAAATAATGAATAAGTAAAAAACTCACAATATTAAAAATGATCAAAACGTCAGTTTTTTATTTGAGGTTCTGACGTCTTTTACATTAAAAACAACAGGTGTTCTCACACTACCATCAAGTAGTTATTCAATTTTATCAGGTTCAAGCCCCCTGGTGGTTGATACGAGTCATCCTTACATTTGCATATAGACAATTTCATGGTGAACTCATTGGAAGAATATATCCTGAGTTCACCATGAAATTGTCTATATGCAAATGTAAGGATGACTCGCAGTCCGGTAGGCTCTACAAATACGAAGAGCAGCCACTCTTTGGGCTTTAAGGAGTTTGTGTTGTATGTGAACTTTGGTGATGGCATCGGGCCAGATGGGGGATGCGTAAAGAAGGATAGGTTCTATAGCCCCTAGGTAGATATTCTTGGCTGCATTATAGCCTATGCCCCAGTTATCACGAGCAATGCTGATGAGTGCGTTCGATCCCTTAGTTGCTTTGGCAACCACCATATTTACGTGGCTGGTCCACTGGAGCTGTTGATCAAGTTTCATGCTAAGGTAAGTTAGTTTTTTTACCCGGGAGATGTGGACACAGGTCAATTTCGATACAAGGGGTCCTTTGAAGTGGGGTATTCTTTGAATAGGTGATGAATGAGCACTTCGAATACAGTAGATCCCCCTATAAGACGGTAGATACGTTCCGTTCTTTATGAATCAATTTTGTAGGAATCATAGTTTACGGACTACGGCTGTTTGAAAGGTTTTCTTTCATAAAATTAATCGATTCTAGACTAATTCGACTCAACATTTCCAAAATACGTATATTTTTTTGAAAATAATCCGTATAAACTACGTTATAAACAAAAAATTGTAGGATTGCTTACCGAGTGTGTACCGTTCGACTACGCCCGTTGCTAAAGCTTGGTTTCGTCGCGGA